TGTTTTGCTTTTTTCCTCTGTTCATCCCTCCCTCCTTCCCTTCTTTCTTTCCTTCCCTCTTTCCCTCCTTCCCTTCCTCCTTCCCTCCTTCCTTTCCTCCTTCCCTCCTTTTTGTTAAAACCCTTTAAAAAAATAAAAACTATCCTTAGCTTATGGGCCATAACAAAAAAAGGCTAGGAGCTGGGCTGTAGTTGCCATCCCTGGATTTAAATTATATTTAATATAACACACTGATTTTTAATATACTTGACATAAGAAAAGCATGTGTCACTTTTGCAAAGTATTGTTTAACAATAGTGAAATAAATTACTAATATGTAATGAGAAACACAAGATCTAACGTGAACATTGCTCGGATTAGCCATGGAGAATTTTTGGTTGTGTACTCCTGCAGGGCTTTATTTGGATGGTGCTAAAAGTAGTCCTTAAGTAGAGTTGCATTGAAAAGAAAGTTTCCTTTCTTTCTTTGCCTTTGAATAAGACTTTATTGAAGAATAATGTTGGAGAATATAAACAATGGTTGCTATATATTATTGAATTTAATTTCTATCATTTCAGTCACAGGAAAGATCTCACTCCATCTTCAGTGCTACATGGTTAATTTAACAAAGGTATTATATATTGAAAAAATGTTATGAAGAACTTCCATCAAATGAATAAAATAACCTGTGAATTTATTTTCCAGATATGTTCGGTGAAGGAGCGGCATGCCAGTGAAATGAGGGATTTGCCAAGTCGGTATGTCGAAATAGGTATGTCTCCACTGCTTATCGTTTATGAGTGGAAAACTTTAAAGAGTATCCATTTTATTAAGTGGAAACCTAAGGCCACGTTCTTCTTCAGGGCTCGCCACTTGGTACCTTGATAAAATAGATCAAGCAGCCTTTAAGTTTTGAAATTTCACCATGGAGACCCTTTTACTAAAAAAATATATTTCTAATTTTCATACAATAATTTTGTAGTTGGCTTTGAAGTCAAATAACCATGGGTTATTTACCATGGGTCCTGGCTTTGTTATATACCATCTGGACTTTGAACAAATTTCCACATTCTTCAATATTCTTATCTATAAAATGTGGAAAAGAACACCTGTCTCACAGGTTGGTTGTGAGGATGTCAAGAGTAATGCATGCACACACCTAGCACAGTACTGACACCATTTTCATCATCACTGGCCTGGCCCAAACTGCCATGGTCTTTTATCTGGACCACTGCAGCAGCCTCCTCACTGGTTAACTCCTTCCACTGTGAATGGCTCTCACCTAGTCTCCCCACTGCAGTCAACGTGGAGATCGGATCATGTCATCATCATTCAGTCCCTTCCCATTGTTCTCAGGATGTAGCTGAAACTCCTAGTGTGAACCAGCACAGGGCCCTATGCTGGCGCTTGCCTGCCCCTCTAGCTGTGGCTCACACCAGACTTCTCCCTGGTCTCTGCACTGCAACCACAGAGACCTTCTTTCATCTGTCCATGCTCTTTCATCCCCTCTGTCTAGAACATTCTTCACGCCTTTTTTCATTTTATTGCCTCTTAATCGTACCTTAGCTTGAATGTTTCTTTCCTGGGAAAGCCACTGGACCTCACTCCCCAGGTCATGTCCTTCCATTTTAGGCATGTATAACTCTGCATGCCTCCCTTTTCCAGCGCTTGTCACGGCTGTAGCAATCATGTGGTTATTCCATGCGTTCCTGTCTCTACCATACTTTAACCTCCTTGTGAGCTGGGTCTGTATTTGCTCAGTGTTTGTATCTCAAGGACCTGGCACAATGCTTGTCACATAATAGGTGCTAAATATTGTGTAATGTTGTGTTGAATGAATCATTGACTCTGGGAAACAGCTATTCAGGAGAAGGATACCATGGATGATACACCATTACTTTCATAACTTAGTTTGTAAAGATTATTCTGAGAAAAAAAATTGCTATGTTATAAGTCAGCTGTAAAATTCATTTGCCCATTTGGTTGGTGGATGAAGAATATAAATTTGATGGTCATTATGACAAGGTGAAGCTGAAATAATTCATTTGCACATGACTATTTCTAGAAACAGAAAGACAGACTTTCTACCCACGTGGCTAAATTGGTTATAGCATTTAAACTTGGGCTATTTTGTACATGAAGTCAGAAGTTGGTGGTGGGGTTGTAATAATTTTTTTTTTCTTTACCTTAGAAGGATAAATACATAGTTCAGATTGCTTAGAATATGGACAAAATAGATATATGCAAAATGTAATAGTACTGAGAAAACTAAAGATAAGAGAGAAGACTGATAATGTGAAGATACAAATGATTGTGTCAGTATCTCTCTCTTCTTTCCTGCCCCTCCCTTGCCTGTTAGAAAAAACCTCTGAACATCTCAATGCATAGTGTCCTGAGAGATAAGTATTTGAGTATTTTAAATACAGACAAGTGAAACAAAAAAGCAAAAACTGTGGGAATTTTTAAGGATATAAAAATTGTCAGGGAGGTATAAAAATGTAGTAATTATCATCTTTCCTTAATTGATATTTATTGCTCACATACTAGGTATGTGCTGTGTGCATTACCAGCATTAATTCACTTTATTCTCACAGGAACTCTTTGAAGTACAGGTAGCATACTTCTCACTCTATTGATAAAGAAATTGAGGCTCAGGGAGGTAAAAAACTTGTCCAAGATCTTACTACCATGGCCTTAAAGTGGATAGGATATAACTCTACAGAACCACCAGAAAGCATCCAGGCAAACAAGGCAGTTTGCTAAAGTGTATGATCTTGAGGATGCTTAACCTTCCTGATCATGCTTTTCTCACCTGTTAAACTGGAGTTGTAATACTGCCTTTCAGGATGGTTGTGAGAATAAGACATGGCACTGGTAATGTGCCTAATGTGGTACTTGGCACACAGTAGATGCTCACTAAATCATGGTGGTTATTATCACCGTGCAAACTCCCATCCCAACTCTGACTGCTAATAGCCGGCTCAGTGGTAGCCCTATTAGCCCAGAACCCTGGGATGATTTTATTACAGTGTAGTTTATCTGTACTATAATTTACGTGGAATAGACCATGTGTGGGTACTATGGTATCACATTACTGACATTTTACTACTATGGTTAATGGTTAAGTACCATTTTTTCCCCTCTTGAGAGCAAACCTTTAAGAACATAAGCCATTTCCACAGCAGGAGGCAAAGTGGTTTGGATAAGAGTCCTTGAGTAGAATAAAGGAAAGGGAAATATTAGGAGGTCTGGATTACAATTTGCTTTAGCCCTGAACAGTGTAAACCACTGTTCTTTAGTAAATGAGGTGAACGTGGCATTGAGACTAAAGAAATATCTACGGCTGTACATTTCTTAGAAGCCAAGTATTCATAACTCTTTCTTACAAGTCAAAATTTCAAAAGTAACACAGAAGTTATTCCTGTTAATAGGATATTGATTTACTTTTGTAAGTGAATAGTAACAATAATAATAATAAAGATTAAGCTCACTGGCCAATCACTCACCCATAAGGAGATTCTCTGTACATAGGCTTTGGAGCTGTTATTTTTTCCTTCCAAATTGCATTATTAGAAGTCCATCTGGTCCATGCCTGCTATACTTATTTTAACTTCAGTTACATCTCTTGTATTCTCACAAGACTCCCTAATCCTCTGGTGCTTTTCACCAAAGTCTTCCATGGTCTTTATGGAATGGTAGTTTGAGAGTTGATATTAAAGTTTTTGGGAAATGAAGCCAATGTTTGCATATCATTTCTGGGTGTATTCTCCAGGGGCAGATGACTTACATGCAAGGAATTAATGATTGACCTCCTAATCTTGATTTCATGTGGAAGTTGGTTTAAAAATAATGATAACTGATGGCTGAGTGCGGTGGCTCATGCCTGTAAGCCTAGCACTCTGGGGAGCCGAGGTGGGAGGATCACTTGAGACCAGGAGTTTGAGACCAGCCTGAGCAAGAGCAAGACCCCATCTCTACAAAAAAACTAGAAAAGTTAGCCAGGCATGGTGGTACACCTGTAGTCCCAGCTACTCAGGAGGCTGAGGCAGGAGGATCGCTTGAGCCCAGGAGTTTAAGGTTGCTGTGAGCTCTGATGATGCCACTGCACTCTAGCCTGGGCGATAGAGTGAGATCCTCTCTCAAAAACTAATAATAACAATTGAGATAAACAACTATATGGGAATCTCTACAGAATGGCAGAGAAGCCAAGAAGAAAGAGAGGGAGGAGAAAAGAAGGGAAATCTTTTTTACTTTAAGTAGTGTCAGTATCTTCAGTTGATCATATACTATGGTCTTAGAATTTAGCACATCATTCTATTTCCAGCCTCTTGATTGATTGGGAAAACAATGACCTGGAAATTGAAGATGTTTGGATGGTGGAGGAGAGCTGTGAGAGGATTCTTTCTTAGATCTAAGTATCTCTCTTCATCTTATTTTGATTAGATGTACAGATTACAGCAGTGGGATAGGGTGTTTTTGCACATGAGAGACATGATTTCATGTCTCAGTCTGAGTCTCAGCAGAGATTGTAACACCTGCTGGTATCATTCAAGGTGTTTTTCTTAAGGATCTTGCTGTATATGGTTTTCTGTTATGTTGCAGTTCAGTTTAAATCTCTGTAATCTACTGATTTTTCTGTTCTGCATTGAACTTTTCCCCAACATTTTATTATGAAATTTTTTTAAATACAGAAAAGTAAAGAATTTTATAGTGAACAGCATAGAACCTCCTAGATTCCACAGTTAAGTTTTTATTATATTTGCTTTAGTGTATATCTATTTATCCATTCCTCCTCTTGGGAGGGATGTAAAAACTTTCCAACTTAGTGCTAGAGACTCAGGTTTTTGTTGTTGGGAGTGTAATTAATAAATTTTCTCCGTTATAAGTAGCAGTAAGAAATCTGAAGCACCCAAAGAAACGAAAGTGTTTTGTTCCTTGCATAACGACAACCACCAGGCACAGTGCTAAATACATTACAAATAGAATGCCATTTAATCTTCACAGTGTCCTAGTGGGCAGGAGCTGTGATCTCCATTTTATAGGCGAAGAAGCTGATGTTCAGAGGGTCAAACAACCTGCTCAGGATTGTTACATCCATAATCAAAGAAGGCAACATTTGAGCTCAGATGTGCCTAGTTTTAAAGCTGTTGCTCATAACCATGGTGCCATCCCGTTATTCCCTGGCATTCCCTCTACCTAACCCCAGCCCTAGTTTATAGCCAGGGGAACCAGGAGGACGAAGGTTTGCTCCAGCATTCAGATACACACCACTGGGCAGAAATTCTCTGAAGACCCTTTTTATATACCAGTGATGATGGCTGCTCACCTGTTCTTTAAACAGCCAGATGAAATGGAAATGAAGTAGCTTTGTGTTTTGATTTTGGTTCCGAGAAGTATCCCTTTTGGAGAAGTAGAAATTGTGTTTCGACTTGTTTTATTCTGAGCTTGACAGATCTTCCTTGCTTCTCTTTCAAATTGTTAGAGAATCTCTAGAAGCCTTGGATGGCTTTCAGAATTGTTTCTAAGGAAAGGGAACAAGGCCATATTGTGGTTCGTTCAGCCTTTTTAAAAAGAAGAAAAGCCCTTGTTTTCTACTTTTTCGTGTTTGGTTTAAGTTTAGTTGATGCATCAAGGTAGTTTTATATTTAAGACTTTAAAGTGTAGCTGTTTGGTTTGAACCTTTTGACTAGCAGGCCCGTGACCATTTTCTTTTCTTTTGTCTCAGCAGTATGCTGTAATTTACTCAATAAATATTCCTCATCGGTGTGGCTT